TTGTAGCTGTCTTCTTCGAGTTCCCCTTTCTCCTTGACCCCCGTCTTGATCCATTTGGAGAGGTTACTTGTCATCTTGTCATTCTTTTGGGCTCTTATTAGGTCCGACAGCCTATATCTCGCTTTGACATGTTCCTTTAGTGCCATGATCTGTCCATTCATTTCCCCAGGGTTGTGAATGTCATCACTCAGCTTCACGCATACTATCCTCTTCACAATTTTCATATCATCTTCTGGCACCATGTTCGTTCTGAAATTTGAGTTGCATGATAGTTCTCTGAATGGTTTCCTCGAAACCGCAATTCTCTCAAGTTCTTTACCACCTCGTATCTCTTGTACGTCCAGATTATACGTTCCTGAAGATGGATCTGTCTGTAATTCCCTGTCGTGGTGTCTTATCTTCTCTTCCGCCAATATCATGCACAGACTATCTTGGTTTTCGCTGCTCTCATCCGAGTCCTCATCCCATTCTTCACGCTCCCCGGACAATTTTCCTTCTCCGGTTTCTTCTTCTTCCGTGGATATGGACCACTCCCCGGACTCTTGACCTAGTCCCAGGTGTTCAGCTTCTTCTTTGAACGCCGCTTTCTTTTTCCGAACCTTGGTCTGCTCCAGAATGCTTTCAGGGATTTTGTCAACTAGTGACCGCACAACATCTTTGCTATCAGTGACGCTTCCTCTTGAAGGGTCTGTATTGTTCACTGTTTCTTTTCTCCGCAGTATCGTGACTTCTGGTTCCTCTTGACCATTCTCTTGAATCACGGGCTTATCATCTGATAGTTTCTCGAGTAACCTCATCAAGTCTTCATCTATTTGTGCATCTCCCACTTCTACCTGGTTAAGATCATAGCCTTTTGCCTTCAGCGTCTCCCTAACAATCTTCGACTTGAGTATTACTTCTATCGGAACCCCTCTGTTTTTCTTCAAGATTGTCTTTTCCGGAGGTTCTTTTGGTAATTCGGGGTGATCTTCAATCGGTTTGCCTGATTTATCCAGCCATCTCGTGACGTGAGTGGAAGACTGTCGTACGTTTCCTTGTCCATGAAGGAGAAGCCATCCTTGATTTCAGGTCTTTCCGCCTCCCTTTGTTCTTGTCTCTCGTAGAACTCCGTCTTCTTACTCAAGCTGTCGGCGTTTTGATGTTTGTCTCGTGTTCTATGCTCAATTATCATATTGTACCCATCCAGGCGAACTATCCATCTCCCAATGTAACTTTGATCCATCGAGTACGTCTTCAGCCAGCTTAGTGCTCTGTTGTCGACTCTCAGCTTGAATTGCTTGCTGCCTAAGTACGCTCTATATTTCTCGACAAAGGTGACCCCCGCGAACATCTCTGCCTTCGGTGCCCCGTATTTCATTTCCGTATCGCTTAAGACTTTGCTCCCGTATGCTATTGGTCTCAAGACTGTTTTCCCGTTCCATTCCTGTTCCTGATGGAGAATTCCAGAAATCGCAACTACCGACGCAACCGTGTCCAGCACGTACATCCCTTTCTCCGTCGGCATACCTAGTACTGGTGCCTCACATAGCTCTTTCTTTATTCTCTGGAATGACTCTTCTGCCGCGTTGTTCCACGTGAACTTCTTGCCCTTATGTCTCATCAATTGTTGCATCGGGTATACCTTGCCCGCATAGCCTTTGATGAACTCTCTATAGTAGTTAGCGAAACCCAGGAAGCTCATCAACTGGTGTTCCGTCTTCGGCGATTTCCAAGTTAGGACTGCTTCCACGGCGTCTGGATCAGGTCTGATGCCGTGCCTGTCCACCATCCTGCCCAAGTATTTTATCGAGTCCTTAAGTATCTCGCACTTTGATGGTTTACACTTTAGCCCCGACCTTTTCATGCATGCAAACACCTCATCAAGTCTCTCAATGTCTTCTAGTGTGGGCGTCGCTATTACCACGTCATCCACAAAGCACATTACCAGATTGCCGTACTTCTTCGTCACCCCTATTAGTGCGTGTGCCATCAGTCGCTGAAATGTTGCGGTGGCATTGCAAAGACCAAACGGCATCCGTTTCCACTGAAATAGACCCAAATCGCAGGCGAACCCTGTCTTGTCCCTGTCCTGCTTCCTCAGCGGTACCTGCCAGAAGGCCGAACCTAAATCAAGAGCAGTAAAGAACTTTGCATCACCTAACTTCGAGAGGCTCTCATCAATTCTAGGTATGGGATAGGCATCCTTCACCGTGACGGAGTTCAGGTATCGAAAGTCACAACAAAACCTCAATTGGTCGCCTTTTTTTTTGGCCATCACTACTCCACATGCCCACGGTGATTTGGATGGTTCTATCATGTCATACTCTAGTAACGTTTCGATCTCTTTTCTACACGCATCCGATTTGTGTGGGGTCATGCGCCTCGCCCCCTCCCTGTGCGGTACTGCATTCTCCTCAAGTTCTATTTCATGCAAAACGAAATTACAATAACTGATGTCCGCTTTATGCCTCGAAAAAACTTCTTCGTTACGTCCTTGATGGCTTCGAGCTGTTCGTCTGTCATTTTGCCCCTCAAGTTTTCAATCTCCGGCAGAACCGGTTTATCAATTTGCATTTCATCTAGTGTGGGCCGCTCTGGAAAGTTCGAACAGCTCGACAGCCCATCGTCCGTCTCTGACTTAAGTGATTTAACAAGACCCGATGAACCTTTTATTTTCTGTAATCGTCTCAAGATACAAATTTTGTCCCTATGATTAGGACAATCAACAACTTCATTTTGTTTTGAATTCTCAATCATTTCATATCGAGTTTTGACCGGTAAAGCATATCCCAGCTTCCTCCCTCTCTGTATCGTGATCGGTATATCAAGGGTATTCAACAAGACACTGACGCAGAGGCCGCTCTTCGTTATCGAGAAGGATCTTCCTAAAACAGCAGCACTTTGACTATTAGGGTTCGGAACTATGCACACTTGCTTTTTGTCACTTAGTTCATTGTAATTTTTTATCCGCAAGCTTACGATTGCTGCTTCATTCGCTTTTAGCCTCACCCTCCTACTCAAGAATACCGGTGCTTTATTCTCATTCGCTATTATTAAATATACCGGTTTTATTGCGTACCTCCTATCCGGGTTTCTTATCCTGAACATCGCATTGTTTAAATCAATCGTTCCGTCAAAGTTCCTGCTTAAGTCCCTGCCTAAAATGAATTGGTCAGACTCGTCCAGGTTTTCTACTACAAGAAAGCTCATCCACAGATTGCGTTCCCCCAGGTTCAGGGCTATTATTGGTGTCCTGCCTAGCACTTGCAGCGCCCCTTTGTTGGCTGCTGACAACCGTATTCTTGAGTCTATCAAGTCATCTTTGTCGAAGCCCATTCGCTCCCAAGTTTCGATTGGTATTACACTCAAGACCGCTCCAGTATCGAGTAACCCACGCAAGTGAGTCTTTTTGCCATTTATGTCGAGCACGTGTGCTGACATGTCTGCCTCTGTCCCTATGTGCATTGCATCTTCCTCCAGCATGGCAGAGTGTCCAATCGACCTCACTTTTAATTCTTCTTTTCCTACGTAGATCTGCCCTACTAGATCTTCATCGCAGGTTATCATTGTTTTCGTATAGATGTTTATTCCGTCTATATTTAGCATCACCTCATGCGGACCATAAGCTTCCGTGTATCTGTTATCAATTCGGACTGACTTGCTACCCCCTCTTGTGAGTAGCGCTCGTACTGCTCTAGAAGTCGTTTGTGGACTTATACCATTCAAGTAGTCAGCGTACACATCAATGTGCATTATTGTCTGGTCGCTCGGTTCGCTCAAGTTTCTGGTTACCTCATGGCCGCCCACGGTGATTATCGACATTATTCTAGCCCCGATTTTCGTTATGCCGAATGGTTTTCCCGTCACCATTTTCACGGTGTTGCAATTTCCGCTCTTTGTCGACCCCGCTACAGCCTCTGATGTTGACTTCGAGCACGCCAATGCCTCATTGAATTTCTGTCTATCGATTTCCTGTTTTAGTCGTTGTTCTCTTTCTTTTGCCGCCAGATCCTGCTTCACCTTGTCGATAGCTTCCGCCGCCGCTTTCTCATAATTTATCTCGAGAGTGTTCCCGGCCGTGGCTTCTAATGCACTATTAATTTGCGTTACAGCTTTCACTGTTTTCGTTGGCAGTTCCGTGCTCGGTGCTCCTAAGTTTTTCGATTCAAACTCATTTTGTCTATTCCGTTGAGTCTACACCGCTGCTAGTGCTAATTTATGTTTGTGGTGGCTCTGGTCCTTGACGGCCTCCCAAAACAAGGAACAATCCATTCTGAAGTGCCCTTCCTGATTGTAGAAGAAGCATCTTGCACCTATCTTGATGATTAAGCCACTATAGTATTCGTGTTCCTCCATCTGGCTCATGTCTTCCTCATCTGGTGCGTAACCCAGACTCTTCATGCCCTGTTTATATGTTGTGCAGTCAGCCACGTGATGATCAGCTGACCCGCAGTTCGCGCATGATCTGCCTTTGTCCATGTCATCTCTAGGCTTGTACCATGAGGACCTTTGAGGTTGGCTCCCCCCTTGAGTATTCCTGTTATCCGTATATGAGTATTTCTTGGGTTTCATTAGCATGTACTCTCTCGACTTCTGTCTCATCTCTTCTGGGGTCGGTGCGCTATCTTTCGACAATGTGTAGTTTGTTGCTAACATTGTTCTCAAGTCATCACTCTTTACCCCATCAATGAACTTCGAGGCGATGCTAAAGTTTCTTCTGTGTGTCGACTCTTCAGGGTCACTCCTTCTTCTCAAGCTCTCAAGGTCATCTAGGAACCGATCAATCGATTCATCGTCGCTTTGCCTTCTCTTTTCAAATCGCATCATCGCTTGGTGACCCTTCATGCCCGACCCAAATCGATTCAACAATATTTCGAAAATTTTATCTGCGGTGTCGCGTTCTTCTTCTTTCTTTGCAACCACGCATTTCAATGCCCTGCCTTCTAGGTTGCTGAGTATCGCTGTGCATGCTTATCTTTCATCATTCAAATTGTCCTGTTCTAAATGTAATCTCATAACTTCTACCCAAGTGTCAATGCATCCATCCGAATCGTCCTTGAATTCTTTCGGTTTTTTGAATGTTTTCCTGGACTTGCCCCCTCCTCTATCACTCGAGTCAGTGTTCTCGTGGCGAAGGATTCTAGAGTCCTGTTCATCATCTCCCAAGTGCTTGCCCACGTCATGGCGTCTGGACCAGGGTTGCTGTGAGCTGTGGAGTCCCCTGGACCATTCGTTGTATTAGCTGTCCCATTCTTCATAATTAATGTGGCAGCTACTGGTGCTGTGTTCACCGCCCGGGTGAAAGGCAACGGTGTCGATTGCTGTTTGTTCCCTTGTGGTTCCAAGAAGTCAACTCTGTTGCCTTGCGAGCGATCCGCTGCTGGCCTGTCTTGTGACGTAGAGTTTCTCAAGATTGCATCCAATTTCGCCTGTATTGCACATGAAATTTCAGCCTGGGTCCTGCTCATTGCTTCCATCCTCGTTTCCAGACTCCCCAACTGGTTGTTGACATCATCATATCGGTTTTTCATTTGTTGCAGATCTTTTTTGATGTTCTTCTCTCGTTCTTCGTCAGTGGCATTTACCTTGTCTGACATCTGTTGAATCTTTTCTTCAGTTGCCCTGGCCAGGTTGAAATAGTTGTCCAGGTACTCGTGTTTATTGTATCTTAATTCTTTTCTTATTACTTCTCTATCCTCCTCGCTGTGCTTCAATTTCTTGTCGATCTGCTCTAGCTTTGCCATCAAACCGCCCAGCTCAAGAGAAGTTGTTTCATGGTCCACTGTTGCCCTGTTGTTGTCTGCTGTTTCCGTTCTGGCTTGTTCTTTGCTTTGGTCGGTGTCTGTCGTCTTCGTGAGAACTGTCCCAAATGTTCGTGCTCTTTCAGTTTTCGGTTCTTCAGCTGTGTTATCCCTCGACTTCATTCCGAACATCATCGCCAACTTTCCGTAGAAGACGTTTTCTTTACTTGAGAGTCATCTTTCACCGTTTCTGGCGTGTTGCCTGTTGTGTCTTCCAAAGCGTCTATCGGCGAGAACTCCATGGTTTTTGGATTTCGATCTTCCACATGAGGCATCGGTGTCGATTCCGTTGTTTTCTTTTCCACCTCATCTACGCTCTGGTCTGGTGTCTCTAGATCAATCTCAATCGCAGGCTCCGTCTGTTTTTCTTTAGCACCGTCTTTCGTCTTGTTTTCAGTACTACTCCTCGTGCTGACCATGCTAACTGAAAAGTTTTTGTTTGTTGCCTTTGGTTCCATTGGTTTTACTTTACGTAGTGTTGAGTTATACTTTGTTTTTGATTCAGTAGATCTTCTTTCTGCCACCGGTACCCTGCTTCGCCTCATTATTTTTATTTACAATTGTTCCTATTTACAGTATTACTATATACACAATTCTACTCTAAGAAGAAATTATTTTGTGAAAAAATTGTTAAAAGGTAATATGCAACGTGATAAAAACAATATTCCCAGTTCTCTTTCAAACCTTTCGAAAAACTTCCTTTATTTGTGGTTACTACCGTATTGGGTTCCGACTAGTCCTATTCTGTTTAATTCTGTTTTAACACTCTTATTGTAGCTTTGCCCCAAATTTTTATACCGTCCCAAGACCTCCAGTTACTGTCCCTACTCTTCTTTGTCCCGTCCCAGGCTTTCTTTCTACTGTCCCAAGACTGTTCGGTACTGTCCCAGTACTTTTTGTTAGTGTCCCAAGACCGTTCGGTACCGTCCCAGTACTTCTTGTTAGTGTCCCATGACCCCTGTCCCAAGAGTACTATCCCAAAACTACTGTCCCAAGACTGTCCCAGGAGTACTGTTCCAAGGGTAGTGTCCCAAGACTACTGTCCCAAGACTAGTGTCCCAAGGCTAGTGTCCCAAGACTACTGTCCCAAGACTACTGTCCCAAGACTACTGTCCCAAGACTAGTGTCCCAAGAGTACTGTCCCAAGGGTAGTGTCCCAAGACCACTGTCCCAAGACTACTGTCCCAAGACTACTGTACCAAGACCACTGTCTCAAGACTAGTGTCCCAAGACCACTGTCCCAAGACCACTATCCCAAGACCACTGTCCCAAGACCACTGTCCCAAGACTAGTGTCCCAAGACCACTGTCCCAAGACCACTATCCCAAGACTACTGTCCCAAGACCACTGTCCCAAGACTAGTGTCCCAAGACCACTGTCCCAAGACCACTATCCCAAGACCACTGTCCCAAGACCACTGTCCCAAGTTTAGTGTCCCAAGACCACTGTCCCAAGACCGTACCGTCCCAAGACTATACCGTCCCAAGACTTTACTGTCCCAAGACCGTACCGTCCCAAGGCTGTACTGTCCCAAGACTGTACCAAGACTGCTCTGGCCCAAGACTGTCCCAAGACTGCACTGTCCCAAGACTGTCCCCAGACTGCACTGTCCCAAGACTTCTTTGGTACTGTCCCAAGACTGTCAACAAGTGTCTGAGCGGTGGGACCTCTTTTTTCTTCGTTGTAGGGACTTCTTGATTCACTGTACCTTGTACCACCTCTCGAGCTCTAGTAAAAATTTTCCCAAAAAACCCTCTCTAAATGGCCAAATGTTGACCCCCCTGTAGTTATCTTTTTTTCGATGTTCCAAGCAACTTGAAACCAAAACTTGTACGCAGGTATCTTGTGATCACCTGTTCGTATTAAAACCAAACACAAATTCTTACCAAAATGCAAAAAAAATTAAACAAGAAAAAGTTATAAAAACAGAGAGATGAACCCACCTAAAATTCAAAGGTGACAGATGTCTACCTTCTATCGAAAAAAATGTTTGGTACCTAATTGCCACGCGTTTTCTTCCCCCTACTAACGATCTTATTGGGTATCACAAAAACTGTCTATGTTCGTTCCCCCCTACCGATCCGACCAGGGTACCTACCTTAACTCGATGTTAAATTTGGATATCCACCTACTATTACCAACGCGTGTGAATATCTAATGTAACTAAATCAACGATGTCGATTAATTAGTTACTCTAATTTCCTCTCTTTTTACAATTTTCAACCACCAACCTCTAACCTAACCAGCCCCCTTTCTAACCTCCCCCTCTTTAGCCCCCTTCTTAAATTAAATATACCTTAAGCGCCGGGTGCTAAACCTCTCTAGAGAAAACCGTAGACCTGTCTCCAGGCCTGCTTGTGTAAAAACGTTCCTCAAAACCGGGGGATTTCGCTTATCCAATTTTACACTTATCCCCTATAATGTAGTGTGGATTTTAACGATACCCGTTTTGACCAACTTGAGAACTCGAGAACAGCCAAATCTTCCTTGACCACTTTCCCACTCAGCTGGTCACCTCTTCCAGTCAAGACTCCTATTGGTTCAGCCCAAATCCTCCTGAACCGCTCTCCCAGTCGACTGGTCACCTCTTGCAGTCAAGTCTCCTAATGGTTCAGCCCAAATCCTCCGGAACCACCTTCCCACTCGGCTGGTCACCTCTTCCAGTCAAGTCTCCTAGTTGTCCAGCTAAGTTCCAAGCTATCTGAAAACCCTTGACAACGCCCCTCACTCGGGCACATTATTGAGGTTACTGGGTTAAATTGCTAGATTGATCGAAACGATCGAACTTGTAAAACAGTATGGGTATAATATTTAATTAATATAAAGGTTTGATCCAACTAATCTGGTGTCAAAGTCACTGTCTTTTTTCGTTTTATGGTTTCTGTTCCTTTTCCTATTCTTTTTTGGTTTTTGTTTCGCTTTTTGTCTTTTTTGCTCGTGTTTTTGTCCCCCTAGTCACCCCCCTTTACTCGGTTAGCTAAGCCTCGTTCGGAGAGCGTACCAGGAAGTTTTCTCGAGTTTTCTTAAAAAGCTATCACGGTACAAGCGGAAGGTTTGCACGTTCCCGCCGAACCGTACTACCGGTACTCTAGAATGGGCATGCAGCCCAAAGCTGTGTCAAGTGGGTTCGACTCCGTAGTCTTGATGTCGTAAAAACACCCAGGAGCGCCATAAAAACATATGTAACATTCGTCTACTTCGGTCACATATGAGGCTTAAGAAAAATAGGCCCTATAACCATTGGCTCAAGAGTCAGGGACACTATCTTTTGTGTTTTTCTACCTCAAAACGGTCGGAGCCAATTCGGTTCGCTTGCGACACGAAACTACGACCCGTTACAGCTTAAAGGCTACTACCAAAATATCCCCCCCACTCTAGAAATGAGAACGTCCCCATACTTAGGTCTCAAAATACCCAAAATACACGAACGCCGTTAAAAACCGGGTCGGAACAATCCGTTATGTTACTTTTTATTAGACAGAGGGACTTTGATCCATTTCAGATGGATCAACCTGAAACTCACCTTATCTCAACATAACAATCATAAAACACACTCAAGAAAACTAAATTTGGAACTCACATGTCGACACACTCGAGAATAGGGAGCAATTTAATTGATGAGCAACTCGAGAAATAAATATAATAACTTGAGTAGTTCAATACTAATCAGTTTTAATAACGGAAATAAATTTCGACTCTAGAATGAAAGTTTTAGTCTGAATCATTGGGACACTCCAGCTGTCCACCTTTCCACTGAAGGTTCACTCCGGTTCAGTTCAATTTTTGTTCGCTCTTGCAATTAATCTGTCTCCTATGTCAGATAGGACAGCTCTACTCTTGTTTTCTACGACGGAAATTGCGAATAGCAATTTCCCACTGTATTTATTCGACAACTTTCCCGCAATTGTAATTCGGTTGTTCTGATTTATTTCTTGTTATTTTCAGTTTCTGCGAGAAAACTGAGCATGACTGGCTCAATTCGAAAATTTGAAAAATTAAATTTCACTCCAAAATCAAGCATTTTCGTGTCCCTCAAGATCAAACTTCCAAATATGAGAGACTGGCACAATTGCTCGACGAAAAAATAAACAATTGACAAATTAGACGCCCATTATAGTTTTTACCTCCTGAAAAATTGCTTTAGCATGCCTAAACTCCTATATTTTTTGCGTACGAGCCCTTGTTTTTTTCAAAAAGATTTTTTTGGAACGCTACGATAAATTACTAAGAAATTCGTTATGCAAGGTCACTAACGTGAAAATGGATGATAACCAGTTTTTACAAGCAGTTCTCCCGGCAGCCAAAGATGGCTTGGGCGTTTCTTCCGCTCGTCTACTCGCTTTACTCGCTTTCTTAGCCTCAGCAGTAGGAGCAAAAGATGCCTTGAGCGAAATCTTTGGTTTGGCACATGTGGATGGAACCTATGATGATGCGCTTAAACGGTGGTTTGACCTTGGAAAAATTGAAATGGCTCCGGAAAATGAAATCCAAAAAAATTGGACGGAGCCAATTTTTGACAGCGAAATTGCAGACTTGATTTTACGACTCGAACCAACGGACGTAAAAAGGTTCAACGCGTTCCAGGGTAGAATTGGCTCCCAATGGTTGAACGTCAACCCGTGCAAAAATTTAAGGTTAAAACTGTCGAACCAACAACTCAGAATTGCGATAGGACTTCGATTAGGATCAAAAATATGCGAACGACATAAATGCGTGTGCGGAAAAGACGTTACCGAAGATAGTTGGCATGGTCTTTCTTGCCTCAAAAGTGCAGGGAGATTCTCTAGGCATTCAAACCTGAATGCCCTTATAAAGCAGAGTCTATCATCTACTCACATTCCGTCTGTTTTAGAACCACGACACCTCTACAGGACCGATCAGAAGCGACCAGACGGTTTGACGCTCGTTCCATGGGCTGATGGTAAGCAGCTCTTGTGGGATGTAACGGTAGTAGACTCCTTAGCTCCTTATAGGATTAATGCAGTGTCTGTTTGTAACCCTTGTACGGCTGCCGCTGAAGCGGAAGAGCGAAAAATTGACAAGTATAAAGAACATGTAAATGATGGATATCTTTTTCAACCGCTAGCTTTTGAAATTCAGGGCGCGGCTGGCCCCAGCACAGAAATGTTTTTGAT